ACCACTTTGGAACATGATGTGGTGAAACAGTGGTCATTGGTGAGGTCAGCAAGGAGAAAAGATCGAATTACAATGATTTTAATTGTGCTTAAAATTTTTTTGATTAGGTAGGGCATGGTGGCTCATGCCTGTAATCCCAGCACTTTGGGAGGCTGAGGCAGGTGGATCACCTGAGGTAAGGAGTTTGAGACCAGCCTGGCCAACATGATGAAACCCCATCTTTAGTAAAAATAAAAAATTAGCTGGGCAAGGTGGCACACAGCCTGTCCCAGCTACTCAGGAGGCTGAGGCAGGAGAAACTGCTTGAACCCAGGAGGTGGAGGTTGCAGTGAGCCGGGATTGCGCCACTGCACTCCAGCCTGGGCGACAGAGTGAGACTCTGTCTCAAAAAAAGAAAAAAAATTTTTTTTTAGTTAAGCCACTTCTACTCTGGGCAGAGACTGTCTATGCTGGGCACTTCTTTCTTTCTTTTTTTTTTTTTTTTTTTTGAGACAGGGTCTCACTCTGTCACCCAAGCAGGAATGCAGTGGCGAAATCTCGGTTCGCTGCAACCTCTGCCTCCCAAGTTCAAGGGATTCTCCTGCCTCAGCCTCCTGAGTAGCTGGACTCCACCAGCTACCGTCCCCAGCTCAGCCAATTTTTGTTTTTTTGGGTTTTGTTGTCGTTTGTTTGTTTTGTAGAGTTAGGGTTTTACCATATGCCCAGGTTAATCTTGAACTCCTGAGCTCAACTGATCCACATGCCTTGGCCTCCCAAAGTGCTGGGGTTACAGGCATAAGCCACCGCACCTGGCCCCACTTCTTTCTCTTACTGCTTTCTGTAGGATAGCGAGTTTTTTAAACGAGGGTTTGTAGGTAACCTAAGAGTTTTGTAACTGTTTCTTGATCTACCCTCATAAGTTGGAAGTCTATTTATTAAAATGACAGACAGAGATTTGCAGTGTAAGATAAGTGTGTGTGGTTTTGTTTTGTTTTTTCAAAAGCCTACACCACTTGTAGGCTTTTGTATTCCCAGGCAGTCTCCCATCCAAGATACAAAGTAGGTCCGATCCTGCTTAGCTTCCAAGATGAGACAAGCTCGGACACATTTCGAGTGGCAAGACCCTATGGACAAGTATATGTTTTCATGCAGTGTTCCTGTGTGATAATTCATTCATCATTGTTTCCTGCCTCATAGACTGTTTCCTAAATCTACAAAAAAAAAAAAAAAATAGTTGAATTGACATTATAAAACAAGGGTTTGATTACAGTTGTATCCACCACTATCCTTAAGAACAGAGAAAATGCCTTTTGTGCCACTTTCTTTGTCCCAAATATACCCCAGTATCATCAAATGTTTCCTGCATATTACATAGGATTTAAAGTCAGCCATCCAAAATAGCATATTACAGCATTTCCAGAAAGCGATGTGAACAGGGCAAAACTGATGTCTTTTTAGTCGGTGTTTTCTCCCAGGCCTGCATCCATTTGACAAACCAGTTCTCCCGATGATGCCTAGAAGAAAGGACAGAAGAAAAATGTTGATGGAAATCAGAGCAACACAGCCAAAGGCAAACAATTTGGCCAAGCGGTGGCACCAAAATTGCTGTTCTTAAATCCTTCAAGTTCAATCTGTTCTCCAGCAACTGGGCAGAGGGCCAAGGGGTGAGAAATAAGAAAGGCAGTTCCATCTACAGGCTTTCCTCTGGCGTGAAATGCTACAAAATATTCAGCACACACGCACACACACAAAGAGTAGAAAAACTAGCTGTGATGTTTTGTGACTGTATTGGTTATGAAATGGAAATCAGCAAAAATATCAAAATCTCTCTGGAGGGGGTAAGAATCGTATTTATTCATTCAAAACATGTTTATTGGACATTGACCTCTGGTTGCAACATAAAAAGCTCAAGAAATCATTGCTTCCACCCAACCCTGAGAACAAGCCAGTTAAGCTTTAAAAAAAAAAAAAAAAGTTTTTTAAAAACCCCAAAGCCTTCAGAGATCTGGGGACACAATACACCCAAATTACTTAAATCCCAGAAGTATATGGGAGACAAGAATTTCCATGACTGTCCTAATCTCTGGGGACACTGCAAAGAGCTAACTTTTTTCAAATTTGTTTGTTTGTTTTCTTTTGAGACAGAGTTTCGCTCTTGTCACCCAGGCTGGAATACAATGGTGTGATCTCGGCTCGCTGCAAACTCCATCTCCCAGGTTCAATCAATTCTCCTGTCTCAACCTCCCAAGTAGCTGGTATTACAGGCGCCTGCCACCACACCCAGCTAATTTTTGTATTTTTTGTAGAGATGGAGTTTCACCATATTGATCAAGCTGGTCTCGAACTCCTGACCTCAGGTAATCCACCCACCTCAGCCTCCCAAACTGCTGGAGTTACAGGCATGAGCCACCTCGCCTGGCTGGCTTCTTTGAAGGCCACCTAGGATTGCATGGATTCTGATTTGCCCTATGGTGACTGTGCCTTCCTGGCTACAGATGGCATCTCTCCCAGCTCTCCTGTCCTCCGAGCTTCAGGCATGGCCAGTATGTTCAATGGCAGGACTGTGGGATACAGTTGGAGGATGGCCACCGACCCCCTTTATGACTGGGGCTTCTTAGAATTCCTAAGTGGCTACTAAATATTTTTTAAAAGGCCAGGCATGGTGGCTCATGCCTGTAATCCCAGCACTTTGGGAGGCTGAGGCGGGTGGATTGCCTGAGGTCCAGAATTTGAGAGCAGCATGGCCAACAAGGTGAAACCTCATCTCTACTATAAATACAAAAGATAGCCAGGCATGGCGGTGGTCACCTGTAGTCCCAGCTACTCAGGAGGCTGCGGAAGGAGAATTACTTGAACCCAGGAGGTGGAGTTTGCAGTGAGCCGAGATGGTGCCATTGTACTCCAGCCTGGGCAACAGAGCAAGTCTCCATCTCAAAAAAAAAAAAAAAAAAAAAATTGAAAAAGAAAGAAAGGAAAAAGCAGAGGGCTGGGCTTCTGAGAAGCCCCATGGGGAGAAGCCTATTCAATGCACCTGGGCGGCCTGAAGGACCAGAGCTCGGCTGATCATTCATGGGCTTGTCACTCAGTCCGTAAAAGAATGGGGATTCCGAGGAAGGACAAATAAAGGAAAGAAAAAAGACGGAAAGGTCAGAGTATGCCCCGACGCCTCAGAAACCCAGATCCTGTTTCCCAGGCCTGGCTGTCCTCCAAGATTAGGATAATGGTGAAGAGACAGAGCTTCTCCTGAGATCAAAAACCCCCTTACTAGTAGGCGTGCTTCTGACAAATCAAACAAGACAGAGACCTGGGCCAGGAGAGAGAAGAGACCCCAAAAAGTGACCAAAGCGATCCCTGTCAGGATAGCACAGTCACAACGATAATAATTGCCGGCGTCTGCTGACCGCTAGCTAGCTCTTTTTTTTGTTATTGTTATTGGTGGTGGTGGTGGTGGTGGTTGGTTTTTTGTTTGTTTTTTTCTTTTTTGAGATGGAGTCTCGCTCTGTCGACCAGGCTGGAGTGCAGTGGTGCGATCTCGGCTCACTACAACCTCCACCTCCTGGGTTCAAGCGATTCTCCTGCCTCAGCCTCCCCAGTAGCTGGGATTACAGGCACCCGCCACCATGCCCAGCTAATTTCTGCATTTTTAGTGAAGACAGGGTTTCACCATGTTGACCAGGCTGGTCTCAAACTCCTGACCTCAGGTGGCCCACCTGCCTTGGTTTTCCAGAGTGCTGGGATGACAGGCGCGAGCCAACGCGCCCGGCTTGCTTTGTTTCGTTTGTATTTTATTTTATTTATGTATTTATTTTAGAGACAGGGTGTGGCTCTGTAGCCCAGGGTGGAGAGCGTGGGGCAATCACAAGCTCTGTGCAACCTCAAACTCCTCCACTCATGCAATCCTCCCACCTCAGCCTCCCACAGTGCTGGGATTTCAAGTGTGACCCACCACACCTGGCTGTTTTTTACATTTTAAATACACTTTTTAAATTTTAGAATACTTTTTAGATTTCCTAGCTGTTCGATGCACTTTAATCTCTCGTTTACTTTTGTTGGTGAAGAAACTAGCCCGTCTTCTTTTACAGATGCAGCGTCTGATGTGCAAACAGGCAAAGTCACTTATCCACAGCTGGTACATGAAGGCACACTACCCAGGAGGTCTGGCTCCCCGCAGATGGGAGGGTAGACATGACTAAGAGCCAGCCTTCAGAGAGCAGAGCTACCTCCTCCCAGGGTGCTCAGAACAAAGCAAGGCTCTTTCAGCCTGGGGATGCCCTGAATGAAGGAACTCAGCCTTTTTTGGCTCCTGTTCCACGAGGTGTTAGGGATGGATTAAACAGTGGTTAAGAGCTGAAACTCTGGGTTTGAATCTCTACTCCATCCATGATTAGCAGCTTAGTGGGGTGAGGGACCCCGGAGGTGGGCAATTTCTTCCTGGATCATTGTGGGACTCGCCAAGAGGGGGTTTCTACTTCCCCGTGTAAAAGAAAGATAAAAAGTTGGCCAGGATCGCTTGAGCTCAGGAGGATGAGGCTGCAGTGAGCTATGGCTGTACAACTGCACGCCAGCCTGGGCAACACAGTGAGACACCGTTTCAAAAAAATTGAAAAAGGGCCAAGAGCGGTGGTTCACGCCTGTAATCCCTGCACTTTGGGAAGCCGAGGTGGGCAGATCACAAGGTCAAGAGATCGAGACCATCCTGACCAACATGGTGAAACCCCCTTCTCTACCAAAAAATACAAAAATTAGCCAGGCGTGGTGGTGGGCACCTGTAGTCCCAGCTACTTGGGAGGCTGAGGCAGGAGAATCGCTTGAACCCAGGAGGCGGAGGTTGCAGTGAGCCAAGATCATGCCACTGCACTCCAGCCTGGCAACAGGGCAAGACTCCATCTCAAAAAAAAAAAAAAGAAAAAGAAAAAAGTTATAGTAACTGTCATAGAACGTTGCGGCAGACACTCAAAAGTGCCCAGTCATATCTCTTTCCTTTCCCTTTGGTAACAGAATCCCAATTTTGTTCAGGGCAACAATGAACCCTACCGCAGGTAATGGATCATGGTTGGTTTTACTTGGGATAATCCTGTCACTCATTCTTTTCAACCCTCCCCGACTGCTGGGGTTGATCCTCTTCACTCCTTTTGGCCGATGAGCCTCAGCAGAAATTGGCTTGGGGCAGAGGGGCTGTTCTCAGAAATTATCCTCTTTCCCGATCAAAGGGGGCAGACACAGTTGCAACATGCCCCGTCTTCCTTCCCGGAACCCCGTCATGACATGTCATGACTTCCACGGCCATCTCAGAATGGAAGTGATCAGATTGAAGACAAACACAATATATGAAGAAGGACGGGGTGGATAAGCAGAAAACCCTGGGTCTCAGGAATCCTAACACTGGGTATCTACCCAAAGAAAAAGAAATGATTGCATCAGAAAGACACGTGCACTTTTACATTGATCACAATACTATCCACAATAGCAAGTTGTAGAATTGACCCAAGCGTCCATCAGCAGATGACTGGATAATGAATATGTGATACATATGCCCCTCACAGAATACTATGCAGCCATTAAAAAGCATAAAATCATGTCTCTTGCAACGTATGCCCCACAGAATACCATGCAGCCATTAAAAAGCATAAAATCATGTCTTCTTGCAGCAACATGGATGGAACTCAGGCCATTATTCTAAGTGAAATGACTCAAAAGCAGAAAATCAAATACCAAACATTCTCACTTATCAATGGGAGCTAAACGATGGCTACTCATGGACATAAAGATGGAAATAAATAACCCAAGACTCCAAAAGGGAGAAAAGGTGGGAGGGGAAAGGGGGTAAGGGTTGAAAAGCCACCTGTTCACAATAGGTACAGTGGTACCATGCTCACCATTTGGGTTATGGGTGGCATAATCGGTACGATGCGCACTATTTGGGTGATGGATACACTAGAAGCCCAGACATCACCATGACACGACATAACCGTGCAACAAACCTGTACAAGTACCCCATGTCTATGAAATTTAAAAAACATATTTTAAGGCAAAAAGAGAAAATTCTGGGTTTCTGGTGGTGCCAACATCATTCCACCTGAGAGAAGCATAAAACATAATTCGTGAAATTAGCTATGGACATTGTGAAATGGAAGCGATGGATCTACATGTTCTGCAAAGTATAAACTGAGAAAACCATTCATCCAGGTGGAATCTAAAAACACAGATAAGGTAGAAATGCCATTTTCTGGAAAATCCTACCTACTTTTCAGATCTTGGGCCCCCACTAACTTCCCATGCCAGGTTTCTCTGTCTCTTCTCTCCTCTCCCTCCCCCTCTCTCTTTCTCTCTCCATATTCTATCACTGTTCAAGATTAGCTAATCTTTTGCACTGAAAGGTGACATGGCATAGTAAAACACAGTTTCAACATTAATTTCCTGGCTCAAATTTTTAAAGACCTAGCTTTTATTTCCTTATACTCCTAGTATAATTTGTTATTTGCACTGAACTAAGAAATTACAGGTACACCTTGGA